TTCTTTCTTTCTTTCTTTTTTTTTTTTTGCCGGTCATGGGGCCTGAACTCTGGGTCTGGACGCTGCCCCTCAGCTCTTCAGCTCAAGGCTAGTGCTCTACCACTGGAGCCACAGTGCCACTTCTGGCTTTTTCTGTTTATGTGGTGCTGAGGAATCGAACCCAGGGCCTCATGCTTGCAAGGCATGCACTCTACCGCTGAGCCACCTTCCCAGCCCCCTAACTCCTATTTTCTTAATTTCACTTGTAAGAAGAGGTGTGCCGTAAGGAATCCAACTTTATTTTTCTTATTTAGTGTGGCTTTACAAATGTTTCAATAAAACCCATCATTTCTTCTTTTGATCTGAAATGCGTCATTATATATAATTATATAGCATACATATAATGTTTTCATTTTAAATAAAAAGTAGGAGTCTCTGTTTTTGGTTTCATTCCTGACTATAACTTTATAGTCTGTTACTTTGAGCCATTTATTTATATCCAAATAACATATTTTTTTATTAGTATAACTTTACAACTTAGAATCCCTGGTAAGTTAGATTGTCCTTTCATATTTTTTTTTCTATTTGCAACTCTATATTACGTTTTAGTTAAGTTGGTCCCAGACAACTTGTCATTTTTAGAGATCATGTTAAACTGATAGATCACTTAGGGGGAATAGAAGGTTTTATATGTTGTGGTTTTTCTATAAGAAGAACTGATGTGACTTCATTTATTCACCGTTTTTTTTTTTTTTTTGGTGTGTGTCTCCCTCCCCACCCTCAGTATCTTAACAATGTTCCTCATATAAATCTTACACATTGTTATGTTTGTCATAGGGTAGTGAGAGAACAGTAGAGGGTATTGAAAGATCTTTTGTTTCATCTTCTATTTGTTAATTATATATGTAGGCTTTTTTTTTCTTTTGGTCGGGGTGGAGGGATTCTGGGACTGGAACGCAAGACTTCCAGTATACTAGGCAGGGACTCTACTACTGACTTAACTACTGAACTATGTTCTAAGCCCCTGATTTTTTTTATTAGTTTCATATAAAGCCATCTTAATAAATACTTTATTATTTCTATTATCATAGCTAATTGTCTTGGATTTTCTAAATAAACAGTCACACCATCTACAAATAATAATTTTACCTACTATCTCCCAGTTTCTTTTTTAACCTCATACCTCTCTCTGACTTGAATGTTCTTAGTAATTCTCCCATAAACATAGTATCCCTAATTATTTCTTACTGCATAAAATTTCTTTTCAATTTTTACATAAAATTATCCTTGCTACATTAACCATGGCCAACTTCCTAGTCATTCCCAAAGGCCTTCCATCCAGAATACTCACCAGCCTCTTGGAATCTTCCACTTCTGGCCTCTGAGACCAATGTCTCATTGACATGGTAGCCTGTGGCCTTCTAAGGTGATTGTAGGGTTTCTCTAGGTTACTTTCTGCTTTTCAACATGGATGTAATAAATGTTCTTTTTCTTACTGATGGAGAGATGAGCAGGTTGAGAGTCCTTTAGCACTAGCTGAGCATAGAGCTCAGGAAGTGCCAGCCTCACAGGGGCTAATAATGCTCCACCAGCAGTCGGTAATCTGCTGACATGTAGGTATTCCAACATGTTAGTATTCCAAGGCGTTCTTTGTCTTCACTTCCCTGGAACTTTCACTCCCTCCATTGCACTGTGCCACTTGTAGGGCAAATCTCATGATTAGATTCCAAGTAAGCCTACTGGAGACATTTCCTGTTGTCTATTGAACTTCCTTAGTGGCTGTAGACTTTTAGTCATAGTCATCCACTTGGGTCACATTGTTTACAGACTAAAACCCTTTCATAACGAAGCCTGGTCTATTTCCTATCTGCCCTCTGATCACTGACCCAATTTGGATACCCTATGAACTTGAACTATGCTGAACTAGACCAAATTCTTTTTTTTTTTTGGTCCGGTCATGGGGCCTGAACTCTGGGCCTGGGCGCTGTCCCTCAGCTCTTCAGCTCAAGGCTAGCGCTCTACCACTTGAGCCACAGCGCCACTTCTAGCTTTTTTCTTTTTTCTTATGTGGTACTGAGGAATCGAACCCAGGGCCTCAGACATGCAAGGCAAGCACTCTACCACTGAGCCACCTTCTCAGCCCCTAGGCCAAATTCTAGACAAGTCATGTGGCTTCATTTTCAACTTCATTTTGGAATTAAGAAAGTCAAAATCTGTTGGAGGATGCTGCTCTACAGATCACAAATCTCAATTTTTTTTAAAGGTTTTGTTTGGTTAAAAAGAGTTGATATGAAAACTCTGGTGACATCTAAGTAGAATCAGACACGACAAATAGCTATGACAATGCATCATTTGTACTTACCTTTCTTTACTTTGTTCTTAGTGCTTGAGCATGACATGGCAACTTGTGGACAATAAAATGTGTCCACATTTCATACTGCTTTGGTGCTTTTATTTTAGTCTCTGTGTGGGCATGGTGCATTCTTGTTGAACCTGCAAAGCCTTTTTATATACAGTCAAAGTGAGTTCTCTTCTTGTGTTTTGATTTAGTGCCATGTGAACCTTTATTCTGTATTTAAGTGGGGGAGGACTGGCTTACAGTTAATGATACCTATGGAACTTTCTCCTTGACAGACCACATAAGCCTTAAAAGCAAACACCTAAGAAAACAGCATCCTTGGTTTATAACAACTACATTGCTACAAATGAAGCCAGTATGTCAGGTGTGGTCTCTAGAGTTAAAAATCCCTCATCTATCCTTGCCATATGTATAGCTTTTAGGTTTCAGGATGACATGCAGGTGACAGGGCCTGAACACATTGTAAGTGATCAATAAGTGACCAATCATTCACTTATTTAATAAATGAATGAATGAAGTGCAACCACTTTCTCATACACGCTGAGACAATAATTTTATTCCTAATTATAATCAATCTTTATTTAAAACATTTCTTTCAATTTAAATCAGATAAGCAATACATCTGCCTGAGAATATTGTAGATATTAGTTGAGTTTTACACTTTCAATTCTAGGACATAGATTTCACTAAGTCACTGCAGTAGAGTTAGATGTTTATGGTCATGTGGCTCAATTTCATGCATCCATTCTCAGTGCATCTAAATATAGTGTGCCCCAGAGAGCCTGGTCAGGTGATAGGTTCAGAAATAACAACCAACATCATTTGATGAGCTTGTACTGACCTTTTCCAAGTCCAAGCACTACATAGCACAGTTCCGCTTGTCCCCTTCTCCTGTCCTGTGAATTACACTGTGAGTGTTGTGCTTTTAGACATAAGATGGGGTGGTTTTGTTGTTCTATATAGACTTATTTGCTTTAAAGCAGTTCTAAGCACTGGGCACAATGTGGGCATATGTGTGAGACCCAAGGCATTACTTAGGAGGCTGAAACGGGAGAACTTCAAATTTGAGGCCAGCCCAGGCTACATAGCAAAGCCCTGTCTCAAAACATCAAGGACACAGTGTATCTGCAAGGTCCTAGGTTCAGTCCCCAGCACTGGAAAAAAATATTTGCAGTTTCTGAGTCAATGTTTCTTTTTCTCTAATTCTTCATGTTCTTTAAGGCAGATATTAAGAAGTGAAAAAAGTCAATAAACGTAGAAATACCCTGAAAAAAATCCAATACTGTGATTCTAATGCTTGGTAGTACATTGGTTAATGACAAAGAGAAAAAGAGAAAGAAGGAAAGAAAGAAAAAGCAATGAGAGAAGGAAAGTAAGAAAAAGGGAAGGAAAGGAGGAAGGACTGAAGGAATAAACGAAGGAAGGACAAAGAGAAGGCAGGAAGAGAAGGGAAGAAAGATAGAAGTAAGGGAAGAAAGATAGAAGTAAGAGAAGAAGGAAGACTAGAAAGCAGGAAGGAAGAAAGGGAGAGAAGGAAGGAGGAAAGATGGGGAAAAAAATGAAAGGAAACAGTACCATGGAAGAAAGATCAGAAAGGCAAATATGCCATGCCTTTTATGGATCCATAGCACGTGTCTCCAGGAAACAAGATTCCTCCTCTCCAACAGTCTTGACAATAGTTCCTTCATTAGCATCTTTGCCCAAGTTGTAACTCTCTCCAGGCTTGTCCAAATGGAGACTGTAGGAAAAAGGCCTGGTGTGGCTATTCCTGTTTTCCATCATATCAAGCAGAGGGAAGCGAATGAGTAAGAAGCACAAAGCTATTCCAGCTGATTGGCAAGACCAGAGAGCTCCATCTTCAGATCCAGCAAGTCCCCTGGGCACATGCCCAATTACTGCTTTCAGCTCCCACTACTTTTCTTTCCATTTGAACAAATGCCTTAGCAATAGCATCTTGGAGGTTTTTTTTTTTTTAATCAAGGTTCCCCCTTGTCTTTCCCAACAATTAAAATTCTTTTTCTTGACAGGTTTAACTTTGCTTTATAAGATATTCTTCTTTGAAGACTGGCAGTTATTACTTAAAAGTTAATAGATAACTTGTGTGTTTGGCATGATAGCCATGAACACAATTATTACCCCAAGTTTTCCACAGTTCAGACCAGTTAATGAGATAATTAGGACTTTTCAGATTATAAATTCTTTTAGTATCTTACTCTGAAAGTATCCCCTCAGTCAAAAATTTAAAAATATAAATTCTTGGAAATTCATTGACCATGAAATTCCCAGTCTTTTCTTTTTCAAAAATTATATCTAGTATGTATGTATGTATGTATGTATGTATGTATGTATGTATGTATGTATGTATGTATGTATCTATCTATCTATCTATCTATCTATCTATCTATCTATAGCTGTTCCAAAGAGTGTTGTGGAAAGCACATGCTGGGGGATAAAAACTGGCAAAAATAGAAATGATTTCATAAAACATAATCTTAATAGACAAGAGGAAAATTTCAGAATCTACCTGGCTAACTCTAGTGTCAATACAAAGGGAAGAAGATAGTTATTTGTTGTTAATAAAAGATATCCATTCACTACAGAATTGAAGTAAATTATTTAGCACATGGTACTATATTTGATATTATTTTCTCACTGTCTTTAGATCTTTCTCTGGAATTAAAGGACTCCAGCTGAAAGTTAACCTCCAACCTAATGACAATTACTTCTTCTATGTGAGAGCCATCAATGCATTCGGGACAAGTGAACAGAGCGAAGCTGCCCTTATCTCCACTAGAGGTATGTTCTGTGTGCTCAACAAGCTGTGTGCAGGCATCTTGGTTCTTCCCCTTCTACCTTCCAGAGAAGGCATCTTAGAAGGCAACTTCATAAAGCTGTTATGGCTAGGTGGTCCTTATGAGGTGCCAAGGTTGGTCCAAAGGCAAGATGTTTCTTTGGCTTTTCTTGTTCAGAGGTTCTCAAGCTTGACTGCCATTAGTAATCAGCTAACATACTTAGATATACTGATACCCTGGCTCCACTCCTTGAGAAATGGACTTAACTGATTTGGAGATGGGCTTGAACATTTGTAGTTTTAGAAATCTTTCCACAGTCATCTGGTGAGTAAGATGTGTGTGTGTGTGTATGTGTGTGTGTGTGTGTGTGTGTGTGTGTGTGTGCTGGTACTAAGGCTTGAATTTAGGACTTTATGCTCTTGCTTAGCTTTTTTGCTCAAGGCTGGCACCTTACCACTTAAGCATAACTCTAGTTCTGGCTTTTTTGCTGGTTAACTGGGTAGAGATAGTCTCTTAGATGGTCACAGCTGGCTTCAAACTATGATCCTTAGATTTCTGCCTCCTGAATAATGAGGATGACAGCTGACCCAGTGGTGCCTGGTAATGAATGTTTGTTGAGTGAATGAATAAATGAATAAAAGGAATGAAAAGAAGTGATAAAACGGTACAATGGCATTTTGAGGTAATACCCAGACAATGCCAATAATTATTGTGAAGTAGTTGATGAATAGAAAGGTGGTCATCTTATTACCTTATCCTAGATCCACAGATGGAACAAGATTGATGGGACTTGTTAAGTCCTTTGCTTAACAAGCAACAACTTGTTCTGTGCCTTGTTTATCATGGAGGTAAGGCCGGCCTGAGGAAGAGAAGATACAAAGGTTGCCTGCCTGAGGAATCTTTTATCCCCTGCCCCCAAGATGGCACCTGTTCCATCCATCACTGGAGTCCCTTCTATAGGCTATACTGGTTGTGCCCCTCATTTTAATGTGTACCCAAATTTTCTGAGGGCATTGTTAAAGAACAGATTCTGACTTCGTAGGTCTAGGGTGGGGCTGAGATGTTACATTTCTACCTGGTTTTCAGGTGATATGGGGCTCCTGGTCCACGGACATATTTGCCTAAAAGAGTATGCTCTGGCACCAGGAAGAAATGACCAGCCAGGACTCATGAATGATGTTTTCAGCTCTGGATCTGAAAAAACTGAGGGGAAGTGGGGACTTGGGTATCAGGGGAAAGGAAGAGTAGGGTTTTAAATGTGGGCTTTAGTATTTGACACTACCGCAACATTATCATCTTATTTTCTTAACTACAATACGTAGGAACCAGATTTCTTTTGTTGAGAGAAACAGCTCATCCTGCTCTACAGATTTCTTCTAATGGGACAGTGATCAGCTTCACTGAGAGGAGACGGCTGACAGAGTAAGTAGAGTGTAGCCTGAGCTGGCTGAGGTTCAGCAGTGGAGCATTAGGGTGGTTGCTTCAGTGTGGCCTCACCCAAGTGTGCTCTTGGTTTGATGAATGTGTGTGGATGTGGCAGAAACATAGATGTGTGCATACTTCTATAGCAGTCATGTTCAAGGTAAAGAGAATTGGCAGGGATAGTTCCTAACTTGGAGCAAGTGTTATAAGCATATAAGCACAGGTGGTTTTGTTTAAAACAGTGACTGTTTTAAGGTATTAAAAGGGTCTGGTAATAATCCCATTATTTTCCAAAGCAAGCTAGGTATCAAGTGCATAGCGAAGAGGATGGCTTTTTCTTTTTACCATACAATCCAGCTTTTTTATTCTAATGTATACATTGGAGCAGTATTTCCATTAACAGAATATAATCCAGTGGTCAGTGGAGTGGCTGAGGACCATGTTTTTAAAGTGAGGGGGGCCTACCATATTTGAAATTAAACAAATTTAAATTGTTATGATAATGGTGATGTAGAAAGGGGTTAGAGTTACATAAGTCAATGTCACCCTTTCCCTTGCTCCTTCCCATCCTCACCCACAAATTGTATAGTTCATTTTCAACATAATGTCCAGTGAGGACTGTTGCTGCATTTGTTCACCCTTGTCCCTCCATTTCTGTGTCTTTCCTTACACTCTCAAAGACACATAAATGAACAAAAAAAAGAACAAAAAAAGAAAAAGAAAAGAAAAACAGCTAAAAAGAAATGACCTTTGGTTTTCATTTCCTGGAGTTCATTTCGATAGATATGATTTGGCATGGTAAGACGCACACAGGCATTAAGCCCTTCTGTCCCTGGGGAAAGGGTGGGTTGAGGATGTTTGAGTTCTTGATTCTGGCCCCAGAATCAGTTGAGGATGGTCCTGAAATTTTCCTGCACCCTCTAGGAGTTATTCTGAGGGTGGAAATGGCCAAATGGAGGAAAGTATGTGAAAATCTTTTGAGACACATTGGTCAGAGGATGCTGACATGCACAGTGTTGACCCCCTGTTGGCAGCCAGTCCGTGGCGGCAGGCACCGTTTCCCCCACCCATGTTCCTCACCTGCTTGTGATCTAGCAGTGCTACCTGCTTCTGAAAATGGCCAGGTCTGTTTGGGGCCTGGAGCCCCTGAACCAAATCTGTACAAAAGGACCAATAGAACTCATGGAGTCACTTCAAGCATTCGCTCAAGAAGATCTGCTGGGCATCAGCTCCGTCTCATGTATCTTTGAATCCCCAGAATTTACATGGGGCCTGGAATATTAGAGGTGCTAAAAATATACTTGTGAATGAATTCTGAGGGGGGGAAAATGAAAATTGGTCTTCTATCTTTTTTGGATTTCTCAAAAACAATCTATAAGCAAAGTAGACTGGAGGTTGGCAAGAGCTCATAGATAATAAGTGATGAAAAGTGTAGTGTGTTTTTATAGAATTTTGTTTATTTATTATTAACCTGAAAATTAGCTCATAAATATCAGGCAGCCAGGCTTTGCTCCTGGGAGTGAGGGCTTGTCACCTGGTGCCTCTCTCAAATGAGGTAAAGACATGAGAAAGTGAACTACACTGCCTAGCATTCATCATTTTCTCATCTGGTAAAGGAGGTGGGGAGGGAGAGGGACAGGGTGCGGATTGAATATCAACGCTGCTGAATTTTTTTTTTTAAAGTGCCTTCTTGCTGTCTCAGCCATTTCCAAGCAAAATTGAACAGTTCAGGCAAACAAGGTCACCCTCAGCAGTTGAAAGTGCTTTGGTTAATTTCATGGTGCTCTTGTAAAAACAGCTATGGTGAGATGATAAGCAGTCTTTAGCCAACCAAGTAGGTGACACCTACTTCAATCCACAGAGGCCGGAGGCATGGAGAATGTCTCCCACAGCCTCCACAAAGCTCCCTGATCAGACCGGGTCGACTGCACAGGGACCTGCTCTGGCCTCATGAGCTGTCTTGCTGGTTCAGAACTGTACCTCATTAGGACTCTTGACCAGGAAGGTCAGCAGACACTGGCATACAGCTAAAGGAGATTTCAGAGGTCAGGCAGGGCAGAACATACCTGTGATCCTAGCATTTGGGAGTCAGAGGCAGGAAGATTCTGAGTTTGAGGTCAGCCTCAGAAAGGTCTTGGGAGAAAACTTTATAAGCCATGTTCCCTCCTTTTACTTCTTCCCTCTGTGAAGAAGCAGAAATTGTGCCATTTTCTTCCTTTCGCCATTCTTCTATTTATTTCCTGGTTTCCTTAAGACACATAATGTGCCATATGTGCATACTGTGTATGAGACAATGGACATATGTCAGATGCATGTAGGGGTTTAGGAGAATTCTGGGGTAATCTGGCTAGGGTTAGGAGAATAAAGAACATATTCTTTAGTCAAAGATAGAATCTTTCCCGAGGGTGTGCGAGTGATGGTGTTTGTAAGATTAAGTTTGGCTATTCCTATGCTGTGTTTCATCTGACTAACTTTGCCTGCAGAATCCCCTCAGTGCTGGGTGAGGAGCTACCAGCATGTGGCCAGCATTACTGGGAAACTACAGTCACAGACTGCCCAGCTTATCGACTTGGCATCTGCTCCAGCTCAGCCGTGCAGGCTGGGGCCCTGGGACAAGGGGAGACCTCGTGGTACATGCACTGCTCTGAACCACAGAGGTAAGCTGAGACCTCTCTGTTCTCACTCAAAATGTCATGTATAAGATGTCTTAGCAGGGAGCTTTGGGCAATGAGGAACATCTCTTCTTCCTTGTCCTCAGTTCTGAAGCAACTAAGAAAAATCAGAGTCAAGTGTATGGAGAGTAAACTATGGCCACTGAGGAAACTAGTTTTAGAGACATGGCTTGTTCCTGAAGACAAGAGGGCTTCTCACACTGATCTTTATTAACTAAGCAAGACTTACCCATCCAGAGCTCTGACCCAACCAACCTCACTGTCTTTCATCCCTATGGAGAGGCAGATGTGTCTCTTCAGTTAACTCATGGCCATGAGGAAGAGGCTCTTGGGAGATGCCTAACAGAAGTGTTTGCATCTAAGCTCACCTCAGAATGAACAAAGACCACAAGATGATGCTCTGGGAAAAAAATCAATAGAAGTAAGGAAGAAGTAGATCCCCACCTCCTTCTCTAGTACTTGTCTGTATCACAGGCTGGAAACCCATAACCCATAGGCTAAAAAGGACCCCCTGGCCTGCTTGTATGAATAAAGTTTTATTAGAATAGTCATGTTAATTTGTGTATGTGTTGTCTGTAGCTACCTTTGAGTGATGATGACAGAGCTGATAAGGACTCAAATCCTAAGATGTTTACTATTTGTCCCTTTCTAGAAAAGTTTGCATCAGGTGTGGTAGTGCATACCCAGAATTCCAGATACTTAGGAGGCAAAAGCAGAAGTATAGCCAAGCAAGAGGCCAACCAGGGCACCTAAAAAATTGAAAATGAAAGGACTAGGGGTAAAATGACAAGCTCATTGGTAGAGTGCTTGACTGTCATATGTATGGTCCTAAGTTTCATCCTCAATACCACACAGTTTAAAAATAAGTAGTTTTCCAGGGTTATTGTGGCTCATGGTTTTGGTCCATGTCACTCGGCCATCTCTCATTTCTTTTTTTCTATCTCTTATTTTTTCCTTCCTCTCCTGCTTTCAGGGCTTCACTCTTGGTATCTAAGACTGGTAGGAAGAAAACTCTGAACTTGGGTTAGTTTTTTCAATGGGTCAATTAAGCTTTTTCTGGTCAGCAGTATCTCCTTCCTTCTCTGGCTTTGAACCTTCCCCTTCAGAACCAAAGTGTGCAGAGAAATTGTGGCAGTGAGCCACAAGTGTCTGTGCCCTTATGAGGTTCTCAGAGCTTTGCACCTCTGTCAGCATAGGTTGTTGTAGTGGTAGGAACATATGGCAGAGGCAAACTGTTCCCCTTAATGAGGCTGGAGATCAGGGTGTGGGGGGCAGGTATCTCTTCAAAGGTATGTTCTCAATTGACCTCATTTCCTTCCACACAGCCTCACCTTCTAAAGAAGATTCCTCTGTCTCAGTGTCCTCACAGTCTGACAATGAAGCCCTTAGTATGTGAGCCTTTGAGAGATCAAGCTCTTCAATCATTGCATGCATTTTCATTTAAGACTAAACCATAATAAGATGGAGGACCTCTTGTGCTCAGCAGAAAGCAGAGGCAGACATAGGGTTGGGCAGATTACAGGTCCTGTGGAACTGGTAGAGTAAAAGCTTCAAGGGACATCTTTCCCTCTTTGGCCTCTGTACTAGGGGGATCAAATGGGACTGACCAGCCCTGGGCCCTCTGGGATAGGGATCTTCCAAGCTTTTTTGCATATTTAGAACTTTTTAGACCTGTGTTATGCAATAGTCTTTTCTGCAATACTAGAAAAATGATGCCATAAGTGGCTATGAAGCACTTGAATTGTGATTAGTTGGGGTTGAAAATCTGAATTTTATTCACTTTTAATTGATTTTAATTTACATGGACATTTGTGACTAGTAGCTACTATTTTCAACAGAGCTGGTCTGGAGCCTTACCCTTGATTTGCTTATCCATATGATACCCTAAAAGCCACTCCCATGTCTCTGTTCCAACAAGTCAGGCAGATAGTGATATTTTTTTCTGATGACAAGCAGGCTTTCTGCCACTTTACCGTTGGTCCTACTACCCTCTCAGCTTGAATCGCTTCCTCCCTCTTCATGCCTAGCCCAGTTGTGCCTATTCTTACTGGCTGAGCATGAGCTCCCCTGCTCCCTAAGAGTGGCCTCAGCCCATACTGATGTCAATGTCACCAGAAACACTTCTGCCCTCTAGGTTCTAGAACTTCCTAATGTTCCATCATCTCTCATAGTAAGGTACCCAAAATGCCTTTGATCAGTGCATTCATCTTACCTATCTTCCTGACTCTTGACCCTTGACCTCCCTTCTGTTTCTTTCTTTCAGCAGTGAAGCTGCCAACTTACTATTCCATAAATACTTGCCCTTGAGCTTCTGGATCTCAGGCTAACATCATAGGTCAAAAGTCCATCTCTAGGTCCCAAGTTGCCTACATGCCTACCCCAGCACACAGATCTACCACTTGAGATTAAAAGCCCATCTCTCAATTCTTTTTTTCTATCTCTCATTCTTTCCTTCCTCTCCTGCTTTCACAGCTTCACTCTTGGTATCTAAGACTGGGAGGAAGGAAACTCTGAACTTGGGTTAGTTTTTCAATGGGTCAATTAAGCTTTTTCTGGTTAGCAATATCTCCTTCCTTCTGTGGCTTTGAACCTTCCCCTTCAGAACCAAAATGTGCAGAGAAATTGTGGCGAGTGAGCCACAAGTGAACTGTCTGTGCCTTTATGAGGGTTCTCAGTCCTAGGCCTGTTTGAGCCAGTAACAGTTTTTTCCTGATGACTCCATAGAGTCTCTAGAATACCAAGAAAAGCACTGAAAACATAGGTAGGCCTACAGAACACTTGTTGAGTTGAATTTATTTGAGTTGAGACAAATCAAAGGCTGCAAAGCCTTTGGTTTGGGGCAGGAGGAAGATATGCAAAGCATAAAGTTGACAAAACTAGTAACAACGTTCTTAAACTTCATAAAAGTCCTTATGTAAGTTACCTATAAATCTTTAAAAGTGTAAAATTAATACATTGTATAGAAGGCAAACCTGCAGTACTTTTAACAAAATAATACATGGCAGCCACAAAGGAGTTTTATTCAAAAGAATGACACACCATGAATGCAGTAGTTAAAACATGTGGGCAGCCGGAAAAGAATTAGAATGTTGAGAGAGAAAAAAAATCACAAGGGAGGCATATGTTGGTTATTCTGGGATTGCTTCCTGATGCAGAAAGAGCAAAAATTATTAAAAATGCTCCTCTGTTGGGATGAGCTGTGCATTTTAGCATCTAGGAAGAATCTGATGAAAGTAGTTGGGACAAAATCATTACAACTCATGATATTTTGAATTGAAATTCAAAACTGAAAACTTGGTGATTTCGAAGTGATTTTCAAACTCTTCAAGATTTCCAAAGTTTTCTTTTTTTAAAAAAAATTCCATCCTGTTTCCTTTCAGATATACATTTTTCTACAGTGGCATTTTGAGTGACGTCCAAGTGACTGAGCATGCAGCCAGAGTGGGCATTCTCCTGGACTACAACAACCAGAGACTTGTATTTATAAATGCGGAGAGCGGGCAGATGCTCTTCATCGTGAGGCACAGGTTTAATGAGGGTGTTCACCCTGCCTTTGCTCTGGAGAAACCTGGAAAATGCACTTTGCACTTGGGAAGAGAGCCCCCCGATTCTGTACGGCATAAGTGATCTTTGGCTTTCAGAGTTTGTAAGAACAAGGATTTGAATTTGTGTGTGTGTGTGTGTGTGTGAGAGAGAGAGAGAGAGAGAGAGAGAGAGAGAGAGAGAGAGAGAGAGATCTGCTGTCATTTCTCTTATGTGCTACATGTTATCAAAAGTTTCTCACACATTCACACTAATAAAAGGTAACAGCACAGCGATCAGCACATAAGCAACATCCACAGGGACAGCTGTGTAGTCTACACTGACTGTATAGACAGTGGGTGGGTTAAAGGATGAAAATCAACCTCTACCCTTTGGTTCACATGCATTTGAATTCTTTCCTAAGTTAAAAGGACTTACGCCAAAATAAAGAAATGGGCTTTCCCCTGTCTTACTGACTGGCAAAAGAAATTCACTGATGGGCATGTCAAAGTGAAGAGAATATTGTGCTAGTGATAATGTCTCCTCTGACAGAAAGACAGGGACATTTTCCACATGAAAATGTCACCTCACTTCACTAAAGGATAATGAATCCTAATCATTAGAGAAAGTATTTTAGCTGATCTAAATTTATAATGAACTCTTTTGTAATATTGTATACTGTAGAATGCGAGTCTCATTTTCTTGTAATTTTAAATGTAGAAACTGTAGAAAAGTATGAGATATTAGAACTTGCTATCTTGTTAAATAAATGGTTAGAGTCTTATAAAACAAAACATCTTGTGTGAACTTATTTTGGGTAATTTACCAGTCTAGCATTTCTGGGCCAGGACACCCTGCAGAGAAAATATCTTATCACACATGTGAGTGGATTGTGCTCCAATTGATTCTTATGTGAAAATTTTGTACTCATATATTATAAAACTAAGATACTGTCAGTCCACAGAGCTCATACAGTTGTCTAAAGTCAACTGCCAGATGCTGAGGACATCATTTTACAAAAAAAAGGCTTATTGTATTTAAATGTTCTGTTAAAATTTGTCAAACTCTTCCAAAAGTGTGTGCAAAGTTGATAAATCTGGAATATGTGTTGAGATGATTGTTCTTGCTCTGTATAAATGCTTTATTCATGTTTACATTATATTAGGAATTCAGTTTTAATATCATGAGTTCAGTTATTTTGTTAAATTGAGAAATAACACCCAAGTTTTGGGATATATTCTAACATTTGTTTAATAACTAAGATCATGTATTAACTGAGCCCCTTGAAGGCCTTTTCTACATTGTCTTGAAATTTGAGCAGTTACTGGCAAGATGAATTCTTTGCAAAACTGAAAGAGTCATTTACTGCTTTGTGGAAGATATTATCTTCACTTTCTCAAGGCTTGAAATTGCTATCCTCAGGATCTCACTGATAAGTCACTTCCTTCCTTCCTTCCTTCTTTCCTTTTTTCTTTTTTTTCTATGTGCCAGTCCTGGATCTTGAACTCAGGACTTGGGTGCTGTTGCTGAGCTTTTGTGCTCAAGGCTAGCGCTCTCCCACTTGAGCCACAGCTCTACTTCTGGCTTTTTGGGTGGTTAACTGGAGATAAGAGTTTCATGAGCTTCCCTGCCAGTGGAGGCTTCAAACTGAGATCCTCAGATCTTAGCTTCCTGAGTAGCTAGGATTACAGGTGTGAACCACTGCTACCTGGCTTCTATCTCTCCCCTTCCTTCCTTCCTTTCTTCCTTCCTTCCTTCCTTCCTTCCTGCCTTCCTTCCTTCCTGCCTTCCTTCCTGCTTTCCTTCCTGCCTTCCTTCCTTCCATTTTTGGAAGGGGATATAATATAATTTAGCAGTAGAAGGAACCACATGAACTTCAGAATTTGTTTCAGTTTGTGTTTATCCAGAAGCAGACCTAGTCCTGAGTGCTGTCTTTTTGTGTTGATGATGTCTGAAGAAACGCTTGGGCAAGTGAACAAAGTGAGACAACAGGAAGAGGAGAGATCAAATAAAGCGTGTTTTATGAATGGATTATTACTATAATGGACAACCTGAGCCCAGAGCCCCTCTAGAAACTACATGGAACTAGCCAGAGGCTGGCATTTAACCTCTCAGTGGATGGAGCATTGCCTGGAGGGGAATAAAATTTCATCCTCCATCTTCCAAGACTGCATTCCTTGCCAACTCTCCTGGTTCCGAGAAGACCTGCAGAGAGAGTTAATGAAAAGCATAGCTACTCAATAGGGCACATGTAACAGCCTAAACCTGCCCGGTGTAGCTGCTATTACTGCAATTCAGTCAGCTGAGGCAAATGGGCGGGGCACCAGGCATACTGGCTGTCATGTTGAAAGCAGTCTGGGTAGTAAGAAAAAGAGAAAATTACCATAGTGAAAAAAAACTAGGTTTGGATTTCTTTGGAGCCCTTACTGGATGCCATTTTGGACAGCTTGGATTCAGAAGCTCTTCTTTAAAGCACATAGAATATAGTTACAAAACACTGTGACAAGGGGCTGCAGAGGTCCTTTAAATCCTACTGTCCACCCATTCCTAGTGAGCACATAGCCCTCCTCTCTCCAACTCTGCAGCAATTGGATGGTGGGAGTTAGGACACCAGAGTCCCGAGAACCCTGCTAGCTGCTTCTGTATGGGAGTGACTGATTATTTCCTGCTTGGTGTTTTGGAAGTTATTGTAGTATGGACAGACAGCTAAGTAATGCAGTTCCTTGCATGGTGAAGTAGTTCTCTCCTCTGGGTCTCTCTCTTCTCTGATTAACATTGTCCTTTCTATTTCTTCCTCTTCATACAACACATTGTCAAAATTGGTCAAAATTACTCCTCTGAAAATCTGTCAGTGGTGTTTAATAGTTTAATAACAGGTCCAGTATATTGTATCCTCTCCTTCAATTTTCACCTTGCACAGTGAAAATAGTTTATCATTTTGTAGATGAGGAAACTAGTTTCAGAGCAGTTAAATAATTTGTTCACACCCACAGCCAGCAGGAGGCAGAGTGTGGGTCAATTACAACTCATATCCTGAACCAAGAATAAAACGATGTTTTGTCTCATTTTTTAAACAAAATTATAGATCATCTTCCTAATATATGTGACACATGCGAATTCCATGTGTATATGTACACACATTTGCATGCATGCATGTATGTATACCTGCATATCCTCAACTCTTCTTCCCTCTCCTTCCCTCACATCCTTTTCCCTCTCCTCCCTTCCTTTTTTCTCTCTCCCCTCCTCTTACGTCCCTTCTCCTTCCCTCTTTTTCCTTCCCTTTACAGGGCCATTCACATAGCTGAGCCTTTGGTAATCACATCGGCACTTTCTAGATATGTGACTATCTCCAATCTTTGAAATATATCCCTCTATCCCCAACAGGTTCCATCCAACCAAGTGCAAATTATAAATCTAGACCATCTGACGATACTTTGAAACAGTTGGTCATTCCAATGTTACACACTTTCTTTTATTTTTTTAGATACCAGGGTCCATGCCATTGTCCAGGGGCAACAGTTCTATAAAACTATGCATGTGGTCGATTAAATTGAGCTGAAATTCACCCACATTAGACTTTATGGTTCTGCAGCTCTGCATCCAGCTGCGGAGGGGCGTTTTAAGGATAGTATTAGTAAAAACTGAGTGCCTCTGCACTGATTGCCCTTCCATTCATGTTCCTGATTTGGTATCTGCTGGAGTCTGGGAGTGATAAAGCACATCCCTTAGCTGAATGGAGTTGAGTTGATGTCCAGCTGTTTGGTGGAGCTCAGGAGAGATGACATATTGTAGACTATTTTTAGAGCAGATCAACACCTCATTTTCTTTTACTGACATTTAAGTGTTTGTGATTGTACCCTCTTTTCTATGTGCCCCGCTTTATTTAAATGAATAACTTTCAATACTGAGCTTGTTTTTCTAATTGATGCTCGCTAGCAATTTCAATTTTTCCAGGAATATATGAATGTACAAATAGTTTGGAAATCGTTGGAGGATAGAGAATATTTCACTTGGACCAAACATAACTTGGGGAAGAATAGAAGCAATCTTCCAAGATTTGGAAAGCTGTTATATGGAAGTAGGCTTACTTTTATTTTTCCACTAGGTTTTTTGGTTAAGAGTCCCATCAGTGAGTAGCAGTGAAGGAATTTGGTCTAAGCAAAGGAAGAATACCTCATCAGGAAGGGACATACCATTTACTAGGTTCTGAGTGCTCAGATTGATGCAGAATGAGCAATTGTCTGGAATATAAAAGAATATAATTTTTTCTGTTGTTCCGAGTCTTGCCCCCCGCCACTGCAATTGTGTTTCCAGGGTCCTGGCATTCTACAGAGACACCTAGAGGAGCCATCATGGGATCTAGTGGGAATTTGCCGGGTGGGAAAATTCAAACCTCATCCCATTTCATCACGGCAGCTTGGTTTCAGTTTTGTACGTTGGGATCCATATAAAATTCATTTGTTGATGGAAAGGTCTCTAGAGTTAAGGAGAATCCAAAACCTAGATGACCTTCACTCAGCACTGTGACTGAGAGTGCTTCTAAGTCTTCTACTCTTTTGCCGTTCCTTTACTATCCAAATACAATACAATACTGATTATAAGAAGTTCTGTTTTTTATCTCAGATTTCTAGAATTCCTCTAGATGATTACATATTCCTTGGCTTCCTCCTTCCAAAACTTCTACTTCATCTCTAGCTATCATACCACCATTCCTTAGTGCTTTCCTAAGCCCATTTGGTCTGTATCATCCCAAGATGTGGACCTAGTGCTCTTTGGATTTCTCCCAGCAGTACTAAAAGAAGCCCACACTGCTAGTGGTTAACATGGTTTTGGTTGAAGACTTGGAGCTAGCAAGAGGCATTTTTCAAAGAACATAAAAACATAAAGTTGAATGTGAAGCATCTGCTCTGTGAGGAGTTCCTTCTGATCTTGTCTTCAGTTCTGTCCTACTGTGATACTGAACACACTAACTTCTCCGTTTTACTTTATTCTTTACATTTCTTGCTTCTGCACAGACTTTGGTGTTTCTGATCATACAGTAGAACTAGAACACATCAAAACAGAAAAACCTCCCTGGCTAACATAAGGATCTTCTTCTTCTTCTTTTTTTATAATAGTCTAAGAGCAAAGTTTTGCTCTCCTT